CTTCATAACATTAATGCTTTAAGCGTTTTCGCAACTGCTAGTTTTGACGCAGATTATTTTACAAACTGAAACAGAAAATAAACGATCAATATGAAGAGGAAATCAAATTTCATCACCATCAAACGCTTATTATTTCATACATAAATCTTACTCGCGGCAGTAATCTTACTCATGGATTTCATTCGTGGTTATTACAAACGCTAAGAAAATGCGAATTCGTTTGCAGTTATAATAAAACATGTTTAATGAGCAAAGTATTTTCCTTGATCCGTCACTAAAATTCACTTGTTCTTGTTATGACTTATCAGGCAGCAACACCAGAACAAATCCATGAATATCATTGCGGCGAGAAGTGTACTAAAATTGTGTCTGTCGTTACCATGGGCTTTGAGTGCCTTATAGGCGACAGAACGATTTTACCTAGCTCCGTTCCAATTCTGAAGCAAAATTCTCCGTTGAACGGATTCGGAGGGATCCTATTTCTCTTTCCTCATCACCAAGTCACTCCAGAGGACTTTTACTTTGCCACATTTTAGGTGCCCTAATGCCGCAGACACTATGTTTTTTTAAACATCCAAACCTTCTTCGCGATTCGAGCACAGGTCCATCGATATAGCAGCTAGCAACCCTAACGACAAGATAACGAAAATTGTACTACGACAAAACTATACGTTAGAACGACAAAATTCACTTAAATATCGTAAAGCCTGGAATTGTTAAGCTTTTTCTTAGAGAGGCTGGATAAAAATATGGAAACACCGAAATAAAAACATATTGCTATGACTAATACGGTGCAAGAAAACCATTGGCCTTCAAAACAGCTTACAGTATTCTTGGAATGGATAAACAGAGATCTTGTATGCTTTGCAAGGGGATCTTGTACCATTCTTCCTGTAAAACGTTGGCAATGTCAGTTAACGATGATTGCTGTGGATAGCGCTCACGCAGATTTTTCTCAAAAACAGCCCCCAAAGGCTAAAAAATATTGCTATCTTGTGACTGTGATGGCCATGGTAGACATGAAAGTTCACTTTCATGCCCAGAAAAGCATTCCTGGACTGTGCAAGCTGAGTGAACAGGAGCTCTGTCGTCTTAGAATACGGCATCATCTTTGTGGCACAAAATTTGTACCACGGGGATTGGCGTGATCAGCCAAAATGGTCACATAATCAGTGGCAGTAATGTGACCTTGCACAATGATGATGGGTCCTTTGGAATAGCACGGTATGACTGAAACCATGACCGAACCACTGCCATGTTTCACTCTCGGCAGCAAACAGTATCATACGCTTGGGATGGCGTTCATCACACCTAAACCCGTCCAAAAGTCAGAAATAGTGGAAAACAAGACTCATCCGACCAAATGGCCTTCCATTGATCTACAATCCAAGTTTTATGACCATTGGCCCCATTTTCTCTTGCAGGCATTCTGATTACTAATGAGTTGCTTTTGAATTGTAGCTCGCCCCAAAATCCCCTGTTTGTGGAGCTCCCTTAGTATTGTTTTGGTGCTGACAGTGTTTGCGAGTGCGACATTCAGTTCCGCGGTCATTTTTGTGGCTGTAATCCTCTTATTTTTCATTACAATTCTCTTCAATGAACGTCTGTCATGATCACTCAACACACATATTCTTCCGTGCTGTGATTTAGCGGATGCGGTTTTTCTGGTTTTCCTGTTGAGTTAAAAATCTTAGATACTGTGCTTCTTGAAACACCAAACACTTCAGCTACCTTGGTTAAGTACCCACAATACGAGCCTCAACAATTTGCCTACGTTCGAATTTCAGTTCAAACATGCATTTTACGAGGTGGTTCCATATTTTTGTTCAATTCCTATATTTGCGAATTTTAAATGTATATGTGCAATTAGACTTAATATAATTCTAGTATAGACTCAGATTCTAGTATCAGAATCCCGCCCCTGAGTACTTGCACAATAATTCATATTTAGAATGAAAATTTTTCATTTAATCTAAGAAACTTCGCAATTCGAAGTATGTGCCTAAAATTAGTGCTTAAATAAATAAAATATTTTTGACTACCCCGTATAATTTTTTTCTTATTGAACATTCGGAATTTTTTAACTAAATAATGAACTCTTGTTTATGTAAAGTTTTGTAAATGTTATGTAACGTTATGTAATGCTATGTAAATGTTATGTAATGTTATGTAAAGTTGGTTTAAAATATGATTCTAAATTTTCAGTTGCAAAATGTTTTAAAATAATGTGAAAAATTTTATAAAAACAGTCTCAAAGGTGGGGAGGATTCTGTAAAAATCAAATCTTACGTTATATACCACACTGTAAAAAAAAATCTGTAAAGTTACTAAGAAAAGTCGTGGAAACTGGGATGGCATGGATTATTTGAGTAATCAAAACAGGAATTTTCTTAGTAACTTTACAGAGATTATACCTGTAATGGTTACAGATGTTTGACATGCAATGTTACAGGAAGTTATTCCGTAGGCAAAGTTTTTGTATGTTGATTACCGAAGCATATGCCTGTAAAGGTTACAGATCAAAGATCTGTAATGTTACAGGAAATTATCGTGTAATGTTTTTCATATGTGATTTACCAATGTAAACATCTGTAAAGATTACAGGAAATAATAGTGTAAGTAGATCGTAATTTTTGAATGTGAATTATTAAAGGGAATATTTGTAGATTACTAGTGTTCTGCTTGTAAGGTTATTGCAAGTGATTATGTAAGAACATGTATTTTCATGTGAAATTTTAAAGGATATATATATGTAAAAGTTGCAGATAATTAACTTAAAAGTTCTTCCAAATAATTATGCATATAGCACATATTTGTCTTATACAAAATACAAAAATGATGTATTCCTAAATATTAAATATTTTGATTATAATATTACTATAAATAATTACACATGTAGAACATATGTTTTATGTGAAATGTCTACAGCTACTGCTTGTAACAAAATATGCTGCATTTATTTATTTATGGGGAAAGGGAAGTTATGTAACTTTAAATATTAAGTTTTTTTTTTTTTTTTTTTAAGGAAAAATACCTTAGATTTTCTAAAAGATATACAACATTTTCTTTCAAAATATTTCCAATGTTAAAAAGAAGCTCAAATTTTATGTTTTTCTTACATCTGCATTACTTTCCTTTATTGAATTTTAAGACATCTCAAAGTTACATATGCATCACGAAATAGCTGGAAAAAAAACTTGTGTATTAGACTTAATGGTTTTTTGGCAATAAATTAGTAATGTTCTAGAATTCCTCCTTTTTCCCGCTGAACACTGGTAGTTCGGTCCGAGGTTCAAATCCCGCGAATGGGCTGGTTTGAATGGGTATTTTCATGGTTTTCTCCATGTGTAACATGTATATAAGTCAGTTTCCCTTCGAAAAGTCCTCCACAAAGGCATTTTTCTCCACTTAGGCAGATAGTCCTAGTGTGCTTTGCCATACTTAAGTAAACTAAACCAAATCATTCTCCTTATACCCAACAGTGTAATCTAAAGAGACTGCAATTGGATATGATTACAGTAAAAAAATATTTTAATGAAATTGTTTCAATAAACAATTCTAAATAAACATTTTTTCAAATTCTAAAAAAAATTACTTATGTAACTCAACAATGAACTTAAATTCAATTATCACAAGTTATCCAAAAAATTATTTTCATGCTTAATTGCATTATTCATTTTAATTACAACATATAATTCTTTTAGGCATAAATGCTTTTTAATCTCTTCTTCAGCTACTGACCATTAATTGAAATAATAGATTAATTAATCGAAATAATAGGACAGTTGTACAGGTATTTTCCCAGATTTAAAAACTTTATTAATAAATTACATTCTTCTCATTGAATACAAAATTGAAGAATTAGTTAGTCCTAAATTTAATTTTTCAAGTATTCCTTCTACTAAAACATTATATTGCCTACAGGCAGCCAGACAGTAAGCTGAACACTAGCATTTGGCTCTAGATTTAAATCCTAGAGAATGGGCTGCCTGTGTAAATGTTTGTGTAACATGAAGTTTTCCTTAAAATATTCCTTTCCTTGGACAGACGGCCCTCTCTTGCTTTGTCATATTTCAAATAATCAATTCAAGCATTTAATGTAGGTATGACTTCACAACTTCGTCCCAAATTCTAACTGAAAAATTGAACAGAATCCCCCCTGATACTGTGTCTATAATACATGATGAATATAGAATGATCTTAAAAATTTAAGGAAGAAAATATAATGTATTTGGAAATGCCTTGATCCTATAATTTATTTTTTCTCTGCTATGCCTAGAAAATTAAGAAAAGAATGTAAAAACTAAAGATAAAAAATTCAGCATTAATAATTGATATGATAGTAGTAATAAACTAAAAATTTTTTAATGAAAAATTGATAATGCATAATGGCTCCTTAAAATTTTAATTTTCTATCCTACTATTAATGGAACTAATTTATCACTATAATCAAAATGACTCAGATTTTCTTTCTTTAACTGATGTCAAAAATACGATGATTATTTCAAAATTCCTGTGGATGATTTAATTGTTCTCAAAATTTTCTATTAATTTATTAAATGGTTCAGATTAATGTTTTTGTTATCATTATTTCAAACGACTTTTTAAATCTTCGGGAAAAATGTTTAAATCTTCATTCAACAAAATTATATTTTTTTAGATAGATTTTTATGGAATAAAAAATTCTGTAAGATAATATTCATTCACACAAGATATTAACTTAGTATTTGCTCATTACTTTACAAGTATTCGATGAAGCCTTTTAGTGTAACATACAGGTTACATAAGGAACCATTTCATTTTAACGTAATATTCCATAATCATATATTTTATTTCAAAAAATATCATATTTTGAAAATATTGGATATTGCAATGGATTTCGACTCTTTATTCCAATACACAGAATATAGAAACAAAAATAGGTTTATTTTTATTTGAAAACTATCCAAAAGGAAAATAAAATAAAAAATAGGTAAAATTTATATTATTGTTATTTTTAATTAACTAGTTGTGAAGGTGCAGTCCTCTTCTTCTTAGGATTCAAAGCATGGCTCCTAAATAAAGAAAAAATCACATTCGTTAGAAGTATATAACATATTCTAAATTTGTTATGTGACATTTTAATTTAGAATCTCTTCATAATAATTGCATGCACTTGCACATATTCCAAATGATTTAAATCTTTTTTTAAATTAAATAATTAAATTTCAAACAAGATTCCTTTTGGTCCTTTCATGAAATCATAAATTGCATGTATCATAAATTTTTGAAACAAAAACAGTACAAATTTAAATAATTCATTTTGCAGAAAATAATTTGAGGTTTATTAGATATTTACTATATTTATTTGTAATATAAAATAAATCTGGAAAGTAGTTTTAATAATGATCAGATTTTTTTTTAAGATTAATTTCTCTAGAAATTGAAATGTATTAAGGTAGCACTTCTCAATCTGTGGATCATACAGCTTGCCCTCATGGTCCTCCGAAGTTCCCAAAGGAGACAAAAAAATTTAGTTGAAAAATCTCAGAGTTTAAAAAGTTACATATGACAATCATCTATCACCTTTTCTCGTAAGATAGACATTTTATGAAATTTATTATTGGTTACCCTACTTACAGACTTCCCACTCAGTCTTAGCAGTAAAAGATGGATTTAAAGCACTATAAATGTGGTACTTACCACCATATATCCAAATATACTATCATATATCCACTAAGACTGTGGTCTTACCATCATATATCCAAATATAGAAGAGCCATGCAAGAATTACAAATCATCCTTCTCATTAATAATCTTGAAATATTAGAAATATAACTTTTCTTCAATGGACTTAATTATGAAATATAACGGATTTTAATTATATATTAAAATATAAGTGTACTAGTAGTAATATATGCTAAAAAATTGCTTTCGAAGGGAACAGCAGCAAGGTGATTCACAAATTATGATAATTCACATAATCTCTATTCGAAAAAAGTTTGAGAAACGCTGAAACAGGAGAATAATTAAATTATGGTTAATACTGGTAATTTCAGCCATATGCTTTAAGCTTGATGATCAACATTAAAAAATTCTCAGAAAGTGTTAGATCAAAAACTACTTTTCCACATAATATGAACTTATACGTAACAGCATTTAATACTTAGCTCACTGGCAAAATATACAAAATTTTGAAATGCAAGTATATATATATAAGGCCAATAATATAGTTATCAACAATTAATGCATGAACTTCAATACTTACACAATTAACAAACACATGAACAATGATGTTACATGCATTCATCCTCTGAATTAACTAGTCAGTTTGGGTATTTTCTATCTTAGATGTCGCAAAAATTGATCGTGGATTTAATATTTTAAATGTTCCTCTCATAGACATTTTAATACTTGTATTTTTTACATAGAGTGTCATCTTTAGTTTTACAGATATTCATTTTGTTCACTTATTACGATTAAGTTTTACAGACAGAACAGATGATACCTGATTACATTAAGTGGTATTTAAGACAAACTTACTTACTGGTACTTAACACAGTTGCTAGAAAAATATTACATAGTGAAAGACAGGGTACAAAGTCAGAATCTGAAAACTTATTGACTTACACTAAGCTATTTAATGCTTGAAATATTTATGATTAGATAATATCTTTTACATCATCAATATCTAACAGTGATATGATATACTTTAAGTATACAGTAAAACCACTCTATAACTTTTCCATAATTTTGTACAATTTTGATATTTAATGGAGGTGGTTACTTCACAAAGCATGGATTCTCAGTGATAATTAATATCAATGTTTGTATCACCAGAATACTTGACATAATCACTTAAAGAGGTATAGTTGCTAAGGAAGGTTTTTCTATACTTCAAACAATGGTTTACATATTTTAAAAAGTATATTTTTCTGACACTGTTATTTAAAAAGTGTATAACTCCTTCTACTCTTAAGCATAAAAATTTGAAATTTTTATGCTTAAGAGTCATTCATTTAGTTGTAACTTACAGGAAGATATCTTAAATGCCTAAAATGTTTTTAATTTATGAAAAACAGCAGTTAGAGTATATTGAAGGGTGCTCCCTGTATTATCAAGGGAGCGCAAGTTTGTGCAATTCTCTGATGTTTTCTTAAGTGAAAATAGGTCGATGTGTACATGGATAAAGTCAAGGGAGTGCGCGATGCCAAGTTTGTACAATTCACAGATTTTTTTTTAAGTGAAAATAGGTCGATGTGTACATGGATATGTGCAATCTGTCTTCGTGTAGCGGCGGTTTTTGGCACACAAATCGTCGCTACACAAGCCAAAATAACATGGTCAAAGAATTGCACAAACTCGGTATCCATGTACTGCCAAAAATCGCCAAATTTTGCCAAGGGGCACCCATAAATATGCTTTTACCAAAACAAGCTTTAAGGCATACTGTCAATTACATTTTAAATTCCAGTGATTTTTCAACACTAGTTCAAATACTCTAAGCATATGTTTGCATAAGTTACATAACTTTTGCATCAGCAAAATTTATAACTTAGCAAATATGAACTATGAAAAAAAAATATTTGAGCTTACCTTGACCCTTGGATTTACTAAATCTATGACACTTTTAACGCCAAAGAAATTCGATGACCGAAAAATACGCGATGATTTATTTAATCTGGTTTTAAAATGGGTCATTTTAAGTTTGGCTATATCAACAACATATTACTCAGTATTGTTGGATAGTGAATTTGTAATTCTTTTTCATTCTTGAAATATATACACATGACAGAATTGGAATAAAAATTTTAGGTTTTTCAGATGAACTCATAGATTGAACTAATTTGTTAAATTTTTATCAAGTAGTTCTTAAAAATACAACCAACGATTAATTAAAACCAACTGCAATTCAAATGGATACTCTTTGTCAAAAGGAGCAGTAGAACTTATTTTAAACATTCAGCAATAAATAGTTTTCTGAATATATTTTTTAGCGTAACGGCAGTTTCAAACATAATAAAGAGAACAACATTCATTCTAATGAGGATAATGTTTTGAAAATAATTCACATTAAAATATATCTCAAAGAGATTTTTAAATGAAAAGATGACACAAAAGAATTATTCTTCAAAAAATACATGTTATCTCAGATATAGAAGAAATTTGGCATTGAGCTGTGTATTGAAATTAATATATGCAACTGACGTATCATTACTAATATTTCCATGATTTGATATTGAATGCTATAACTATTAAATATTAGCAAATGCATTTTATAATGAACTTTGCACCAAAATTTATAGTAAATTTATATGTAAATTTACATTGTAAGTACTAGAATGAATGTTGTACCATTTTATTAATATTTTACTTTTCAACAAGCATAAAGGAAAAAATAGAATTTTTTTTTCTTTAATGTTCCTAGTATGTTACATCATAGTTAAAAATATGTCAAAGTCACGGCATTTCGATTGCCTTTTGTAAATGTTGGTTATAATGTAACTTAATAGATGCTTTATAAGTTGGTAAAGACTGTCCTGGATTAAAACTATCTTTAACACAAAAAATAATATACATTGAATACTTTTACAAATATGTAATTGCTATCCGACTGTATAATCTTTTAAGGCGAACTTATCGCATGTATTAATGAAATGATATTCCATTTTTAATGTATGTTAAGTTATTTTGTCGAATTTTTTAAATATATTACATTTATTTTTTCTTTTTCGTTGAGATTAATAATAACATACATAGCGTAATAATGCTCTGGAAAATATTCTAAAGCAGCTCACGCTGGGATTAATGATAACATGTATGGAATAATAATGTTACATCTGTCAACAAAATGAAAAATATGAATATTCTAACGCGATATGTTTTAAAAGATACATAAATATTTAACATGAGAAATTATTAGACTATAGATAGAACATTAATATTAAGCTTATTTGTTTTTAAACTAACATATTAACAAATTTGTTTCTGTTTATAAATATGAGCAGTTTTAACTGCAGACACCTGCAGATGTAACGAATAAAAGTTGTTATTTTACTAAATGGAACACAAGCTCTGTGATTTGAACTCTAACAATAATTCAACACAGGTTTATTTAGAAGCATTAGAATTATAAGCTAAACATTAAAAGAATTTAATTATAGATAGTGTAAAGAACATAACAAATACATTACATAAAATTAGTAAAATACACGTCAAACACTATTTTGAACTTACCTCGACCATAGCAAAAATAATGGCTAACATGGCGACTATCGTTGAACTCTCCCGCTAAGACGCTGTTTTTCCACCTTCTTCCTGATTGGTTCTTCTCTCTCAGCCGTTTTAAGCCACGTGATCACACGCTACGGACAAAATCCAAGCAATACTTCTTGAAAAACTCCTGTAGAGTTTACAGTTTCGTTTGGTTCTGTGTTCGTTACAGGTATTTCCTTCGTAATTGTTCGCATTTCTGTAACTATACAAGACTTTTGTCTGTAAACTTCGAGGTTTTTTTTTACAGTGCAGGGGTAGCCAAAGTGCGGCTCGCGAGCCTGATACGGCTCTCGCAGGCAATTTGTGCGGCTCGTGCATATAAAATATATGCACGAAATATGGTAAATTAAAACTATTCAGTGTCCAAAAAGAAGTAATTAATTAGTTTAGACTCTTATTACAAATTTATCAGGGATTTCTTTTTATTTACAGCCTCCTCCACTACTTCTATAATGATGTACATATGAACTTGTGGCTTTTAGAAAATCTAGATGCGGTTCTCGAACATTCCTGAATTCAAACGTGCGGCTCTTACTGACATGAAGTTTGGCCAACCCCCATTCCCTCTAAATTTACATTAATAAAATAATCATTATACTTTTATTGCTTCAAAATAAAAAAAACCATAGCTCAACAATGAAAGATACTCTTTTGATAAATTCTCAGATTTTGTTCGTGGCTGTTAATTTGAAACTATCTAAAAAATAATTATTTATATCAGTGAAATATTTCATGAAAAATTAGAATTCACCAACACGCGTATAACAATGAAAAGTTTTAAAACCTGTTGAATTATTAA